CCACCCACCCCAACAGGTGCCAAGTAATGTGCCAAGTGGGGACCAAAAACCTCACCATTACCTGTGGGCCCGCTCTCTTTTCTCTTCTCTCTCTCTCTCTCTTTGTGGAAGCAATAGAATTCCACGGTCGTTGAGATTGTCGACTCACATTTCCAGAAAGAAACTTTTTTAATGTAGGAAATTGTCAGAAACCCGTTTTGTCATCGCTGGACCACTCAGACAGCAGCCTCCATGACTCTGAGACCAGAAGAACTAGGTGATGCCCGACCAGCTGTTCTGAAAGGGATCCTTATTAGACAGTCCTGGATGGAGTGCGACAGAGCTCAAAATCAGAAAAAATGACCCAGCCTACTGAATCTGTAGAGATGGCTGGTACCCCCAGGACCATGGCCCTTAGCCGCTCTCTGGGGTGGGACTGAACTCACCCTCAGCCTCAATTTGCAGCCCAACAACCCAAACCAAACTCGCTGCCGCTGAATCAACTCAGGCTCATGGGGACCACTGTGGACTTCCGAGACAGTAACTGTTGATGAGTAGAAAGCCCAGTCTTTCTCCCTTGTCGCTGCTAACGGTTTCGAACTGCTGATTGTGGGGTTTCGAACAGCCTAAACACTTAACCACTATACCTCCAGGGCTCCTCAGCCCAACAACAGACCGGTCTATAAGAAAAACAGTGGCATTGGCGAGGTACACACACTGAGAGTCATCAACCACTGGCAATCAAAAGGGCTGCATGTAACCAAAACAGGGTTTAGCAGTGTTGGGGAAAAAGGAGGAAAGGAAATAGGAGACAAGATTGCAGTCAGGGACGTGAAACAAAACGGATGTGGCTTATTGAGTGGAAAACGGATCTGCTCTGTAAACCTTCACCCTCTTCACAATAAAGACTTGTTGAAAAGTACACCCACCCACCCCCACAAGGTATTTGGGAGTTGATTCCTGATTGGTGGTGGGCCCCTGGGCGAGCGGGCTGCCCCTCTGTGTTCCCTTGAAGGGCAGGCTGTCCCTGGCCTGGGTGAGGCTCTGCTGCAGGATGGGGAGCGCCTGGGCAGCTGTGACGGGCTGCTGCCTCTGCTCACTTCTAGCCAAGTACATCGTGCAGGTGGACGGGAAGATAGGGCTGTTCCGAGGCCTGAGCCCCCGGCTGATGTCTAATGCGCTCTCCACCGTGACCCGGGGCAGCATGAAGAAGGTGAGCCCGGGGAAAAGCCCCAGCAGTGGCTCGCTGCCCTGTGGGCCCCTGAGCCCTGGTCGTGCGACTGCTCCTCGGACCGGCCAGGGTGCCGCCCTGCACCATTGCCGGGCTCGTCCAGCCTCTGTGGCCAGACCCCAAGTCTCCTCGCTGAGACAGCAAGGACCCCTGTCCCCCAGACCCCCCCATTCCCCACGTGGGTGTCACCAGACTAAGGTGGTCCCTGCTCCCCCTGCCCCGCACTCCAGGCCCGGGCGGGGCTGATGGGAGGCAGACCCTGCCGCTGCTGCCCTGAAGGCGCCCTCTCTGGGAGGCTAAGCCATGTTCTACTCCTGGCCTCCTCTGTGTGCTCCAGGTGTTCCCTCCGGACGAGATGGAGCAGGTGTCCAACAAGGACGACATGAAGACTTCTCTAAAGAAAG